TTTATATTTTTTCTTGTTGGTTTACACATGATATTTTTTCTTGTGTTTTACACATGATATTTTGTCTTGTGATTCACACATGGGTATTTTGTCTTGTGGGTTCAACATGATATTTTGTCTTTGGATTTACACATGAAAATTTTGTCTTTTGATTTTCACATGATGTTTGGATGTGTCTTGTGATTCACACTGTTTTTTGGAATGTGTCTTGTGACGGGCACCATAAAATTTTTTTTCTTTGATTCACCATGATGTTTTTGGGTTTTGTTTGTGATTCACACAGATATTTTGTTTTGGATTCACAAAGATATTTTGTCTTGTTTTCACATATGTTTGGATGTGTCTTGTGATTCACCATGATATTTTGTCTTTTTGATTTTACCAAGGGGGGGCTTGTGATTCACACATGTGTTTTTGGGTGTGTCTTGTGAATTTACACATGATATTTTGTTTGTGGGTTCACACATGATATTATGTCTTGTTTAAAACCCTGATGGTTTTGGGGTGTCTTGTGATTTAACATGATATTTTGTCTTGTATTCACACATGATATTTTGTCCCGTGATTCACACTGATGTTTTGTGCCTTGTGATTCACACAATGTTTGATTGTTTTTTGTAATTCACACATGACGTGGGGGGACATCATCCAGCCCCTGTAAGCAAAATCCATTTTAGCACTGTGGAAACAAAATCCATCCAGCACTATGGAGACATCCCCTCCAGCCTGTGGAAAAACATCCATCCCCAACCCCTGTGGACACATCATCCAGCACGGGGGAGCAATCCCTCCCGCACTGTGGAGCACATCCTCCAGCACTGTGGAAGCTCATCCTTTCCCGCATGTGGAACCATTTCCCCAACCCGTGGAAACACCCTCCTCCAGCACTGGGGAAAAAACCCTCCATCCAGCCAAAGTGGAGCACATCCATCCAAAAATGTGAAGCACTCCATTCCCAAAAATGTGGAAACACATCCAGCACTTTTGGAACACATCATCCACACTGTGGAGACATTTGTTTCCGCACTTTTGGAGCAATTGTCCGCACTGTGGAGACATCCCTCCGCACTGTGGAGGGACATTTCCCTTTCCCGCCCCTTTTGGAAACACATTTTTTTCCCGCATGGGAAGCACATCCCCTCCAAAATCTGGGGGAGCAAAATCCATCCGCACTATTTGGGGCAAAATCCATCCAGCACCCTGGAACATATTATCCAGCATCTGGGGCACATCCATCCAGCACTTTTTTGGGGGGGACCCTCATCCCACTGTGGAGAAAATCCCTCCAGCACTTGGGGCACATCTTCCCGCCCTGTGGAGCAATCCATTCCGCACTTTGGAAAAATCCATCAGCCTTTTGGGGGCACATCATCCAGCACTGTGGGGCACAATTTCCCTCCCAGCATGTGCAGCCAACTTTTTCCGCACTGTGGGGGCCCATCCATTTCCCCACTTTTGGGGGAAACATCCTTTCCCGCACTGTGGGGGCACATCATCCAGCACTGTTGGGGCACTCCCTCCAGCACTGTGCAGCACATCTATCCCGCACTGGGAAACACATTTCCCTTCCGCCCCTGTGGAACACATCCATCCCGCAATGTGGGACTTTATCCAAACACTTTTGGAGACATTCCCCTTTCCCGCACTCAATCGAGACTCTGGGCTGATCTGGTCAATTATACTTCCTTTTTGGTGGATTATCAGTGTACTTCACCCGATTGGCAAATTTCATACTTTTTCTTTTAATTTCCTTTTGGGCCCCAAAAGGGCGGTTCAAATTTGATTTTTTATTTAGTGTTTTTAATTGTTTAAAAAGGGGGTTCTCGAGATGCAAATTTTGTTCATTGCCCAAATTTTCTGAGTCTGTTCATTTCCCTTTTTTTTTTTCATTGAGTATGTTGTGAGCTTTTTTTTTTAAAAAGGGGGAAACTGGGGGGCTGCCGTAGGGTTTAAAATGGAAATGGGGTGCAGTAGAGGTTTAAAGTGGAAACTTTGGGGGCAGTAGGGTTTAAAGTGGGAAAGTGGTTTTCCCGCAGTTTGGGGGGTTTTTAAAATTTGGGAAAAGGGGGTGCAGTAGAGGTTTTTAAAATGGAAACTGGCGCCTGCAGTAGAGGTTTTTTAAAATTGGGGAAAAAAGGGGCTGCAAAAGGGAGAGGTTTTTTAAAGGGGGAAAGTGGTGTGAGTAGAGGTTTTAAAAATGGAAAAATTTGGGGCCTTTGGGAGTAGAGGTTTTTTAAAGTTGGAGCTTTGGGGCCTTTCCGTGAGGTTTTAAAATTTGGAGCTTTGGGGTGCAAATAGAGGTTTAAAATAGGAGGGGGTTTCTCAAAATTGAGGTTTTTTAAATAGGAGCCGGGTTCCCCGCAGTAGAGGTTTACAAAAAAAGTAAACCCGGACCGTGACTGTTCTTTTGGGGATGCCACTGGATTGTTTTTTTAGTTTATGCGCTGCTACTTAAGCCGAATTCTGGATCTAGCAAGGGCCCTGTGGGCAAAGGGTTACTAGAAAACACAGGGGAAACATGGGGAAAAGTGTGAATTTCAAAATACCAAGCTCCAGAAAATAAAACTTTTAAGGGGCAAAAAAATACTCTTATAGAATTTTCTCAAGTCAGGGCCTGATAAAGCTTTCTGCACAATGACTCAAAAATTACCTCAATAAAAGTTGTCTCTGTTGTGAGCTTGTCGCAAAGGGCATTGTTTCCCCCGCTCGTGGTTTAAAACAAAGGTAACCCCGGGCCCCCCCCCCGGTTTTTTGTATCGAGGGTTTTCCATGGGGAAAGGGTAACTATTTTGTTACCTCTAAATTTTTTTGGGAGAGAATTTAGATTAGGGGGAAAAATAGAAAAATCCCCCCAATCTCTCTTGCCCCAATGCCAGCTGTAATTTTCTTTTTGGGGACAAAAATAAAAGGGGCTAAATAAATTTTAAAAAAATTGTGGAGGGGAGAGTTAAAACGTTTTACTTAATAAAATAAAATGTTTACTATTTTTATTTATTTACCAGGAAAATGTGTCAGGGGGATAAACTTACATAGTTCCTGAAAATTACCCCAGGGTTTTTTACTGGCTTCAGTCGCAGATCAGCAACCTTTTCTTCAGTTAATATTTGCAAAAGGTTTTAAGTAATTGTAAGTTTATTCAGGTATACACAAATACAGTTTTCATAGAAAAAAAATTTACATAGCAGCATTTGCGTAGAGAACCTTGGATAACTAAAAAAGTCAGAGTGCTTCAAAGGCCCCTTTTTAAATGTGCCCGATTTTATTGAAAAATGGTGTAGGTGCATGGGAGAGGGAAATTTAGACCGGGCCGCAGGGGGCCAGACTGGGGGCCCCAGGGGGCTGGGGACTGGGGCCCCCGGGGCTGAGGGCTGGGCCGCAGGGACTGAGACCGGGGCCGCAGGGGAAAGAGGCCCCCCAGGAACCATTAAGATATGCAAAAATGTATTTGGTTTAATTTTTAGTTATTTGAACCTCAAAAAAGAATAGTGTAATGTTGTACTTTAAAAAACATGTACCCAGTTATCACAGCATGATTTGGCTTTGTGGCCGTGGCTTTGTAAGGGGGGGGGGAGGGGGGGGGGGGGGGGGGGGGGGTTTCTGCCCCATTTAGGGGGTGGGAAAATAGAGGGCCCCTGAGGGGTGACAAATAAGGCACAAAACAGTGTTCGCAACATAAAAGAAAAATCCTTTTGGGTTTTTATATAGCCTTTTATAAGATTACGGTAAAATAGGCCTAATAGGGGAAAATCATTGTTTTGATGATGTGGAAAAAATGATTTTGCAGGTTGAAAGCAAGAAAAAGTAAGAATTTAGATTTACTGAGATGTTACCCTTTTCTCAAAGGTCAAATCGGGAAAATAGTATATTGCAATGTTTTTTTTTAATTTTCAAGTTTTTTTCATTTTTGGGAAAATGAATATAAAAGTTTGGATTTTGTTGCTGTACCAAAGTGGTACTTTAGGTTTTTGTTTTCCCCAATATTTCTACGATTTTTTATTTTATTTATTAATAAAGTTAAGAAATGTTCTCCGGTTTGGTTTTTGGTCCTTAAACGTGACCTGGTGGGGTAAAAAACTCCCACTTCACCCCGGAGGTCCCCGGGGGTTCGATTCCCGGGGGGGGAAAAAAATTTGAACCCTTTTTTTACACCTTTTTGTCCTGTTTACCCCAGGAAAACAAATAGGGTACCTGGGTGTTAGTCGACTGGTTGGGTCGCATCCTGGGGGGGCAAAAATGGAAAAAAAGTTAGGGAAATCCCCCCGATTTACCACTGAAATTTTTGGGTTTTTCCTGGGTGGCTAACCCCCCCGGGGTTTTAAAAAAACCCAAAGGGAAATCTTTCTTATCTTATCTCACGCTAAAATTAAAACCCCTGGTCATGCAGTAGTGATTTTAACTGCCCGTTTACTTCTCCCCCTCCCCCGCCCCCTGGTTTCTTTTTGGGGGGACACCAATCCCAGCCCAAAGCCACTGGGGTAGGCACCCATGAACCTTGTCCCCCCACTTACCAAATTTACCCCACACACACACGGAAACAACACGAGGCCAGGGCTGAAATCTCGACCCCTGTAAAACCCCAAATTAGGGGAGTACGAGTACAGGCTAGGGGGTCAAAGACTGCCAAAAATGACTCCCAAAAAAAAGGATCCCTGGGGTTTTAAACCCGGGGTTTTCCTGGAGAGGGTTTCGGGGGGTTTAACGCCCCCCCCGGCCCGGCTTTAAAACCCGGGGCCCCATGGTGGAAACAGAGTTTGATCAACCCGGCTGTTTTTCTGTGGCCAACGCATTTTGGAACCCTACAACCCAAAGCCCGGTTTGGGCCAAAGGGAAAGACTTTAGGTTCCTGTCCAGGTCTTCTTTGGGGGCGTGTCAAACTTATCTAAACCTGAACAATACGCCCTCTTGTCTAAACACACAGGTATATATACAGTATATACACAGTTTGTGGGGGAGGCAGCTAACATGATGAACACACGGAAACATAACGTAACATGACTAACCTGTCTGACTTGACGCTTGAGAGGGAGTCGAGCCAGGTCAAGGGGGGCAGGTCGTGGGAGCGTGGCCGTAGAGCTGAGGTCAGTAGTGGGCGTGGAGAGGTACTGTAGGAAAGTCCGCGCCATCACAGGGTCAAGAACCACGCCCATCTCCTCATCAGAGGAAGATTCTGATATAGAAATAAGAACACCTGGTTATGGCTGTCAGTAAATCACTACCCTCCACCCGGAGGGCCCAAGAAAGAAGACAGAAGAAAGAAGAAGATGAACGACACACCCAACCGGGGCCACCGCCGGTCACTATCTGGAGAAGACCCGGGCCGGAAGTACCGGCAAATCCCTAATGAATGAATGAAGTAAATCACGTTTGTGCTTCTCACCTTACATCCCCGAACGTCAAAATATCGGCTACAAGCTCTCACTCACTCTTCCTTCAACGTTTTTATTCACATTCTCATGCAGTGACTGTTAACACTAAATGGTCCAGATCCTCATATACAGTCGGCTACAGAGCGGTCTCTCCAAAGACAGCAAATCGAGGAAATTTACTAAAATTGACTAGTATTTTCACAGCAGTTATATACAATACTCCTGCTGTCACACACACTGTAAACATGTCCACCTCCTTACATAATCTTTGCTGTCTCAGACTACCAAAGTGCATTACAAGCTATCCATATTTCATCGAGCTTCGTATACAAAGTTAGTTGTGTCGACTTTCTAGCAAGCATAAAGTTGTTTTGGTTGGATCACTGGACAAACTGACGATCATGGTAATGTGAAGACATACTCGACCGTCCGGCCCACCACGGTCTTCCAGTTTTCCATAAGGAAATCCCTTTTATAATTTATTTTATTGTACTGTTTCTGAGATGGAAACAAATGACAATAATGTTGGTCAGAATCAGACAAGAAATTGTTTTTCATTAAACCACATTTGAGCTCCTAGGTATAATGTTATCATTGCTTCCACACTATCATGTTTGTGAAGAAGTCACACATGACTTACAAACGGATGCTGTTTACAAAAACGTTATGCACCTCTATGCAGGGACTGCCAGATGACACTAACAGTTTACTATACGTTAATAGTGTCATGTATATCAAAGATCACGCAGAACTCACTTTCGATATCTTTATTATACTAACACACTCACTCTAACACGTCCTCACCAGAAGCTCCACATTTCGTACAGACTCACTTCATAAACTTTTAACATAAAGTAACCAGTGTAACAATGATGTTAATTTGACACCTTCACTAACCCTCAGTTCGATTACCCTTCGCAACATTAACCACCTCTGTGCTCTATGACCCATGCTAGTCTGTCTGTATTTCAAATATTAACAAATAAAATAAAGGCTGGACGAGAAAAAATTATTGACAACATTGTATCAATAATTGTATTAATCTTATCATTTATAATAACATTGCTGTCAGAATTTATATGTGTATCTGAACATGAATTTCTACATTATTAGAAATACATTTGAGAATTCCATTAACTTTTAGTTATTAGACTCGAAGGTAAAATTACATTGAGATCATGTTAATGTAAACACATTAAACATAATGTAGGGACTCTGATGTTTATTATCTTAACATCAAGAAGAACAAATTACCAGAAAACAATTAGATTTGTTTTGTATTGCATTAAAACGCACAAGAGAGACAATACAAGACAAGAATTTCAGCTGCACACACATGGCAGCGCTGAATCATAGTTATCATTATGATTGTACTCATAATAATCATGTTTTGTGCCTTGTGATTCACACATGATATTTTGTCTTGTGATTTACACATATTTTGTCTTGTGATTTACACATGATGTTTGGATGTGTCTTGTGATTCACACATGATATTTTGTCTTGTGATTTACACATGATGTTTGGATGTGTCTTGTGATTCACACATGATATTTTGTCTTGTGATTTACACATGATGTTTGGATGTGTCTTGTGATTTACACATGATATTTTGTCTTGTGATTTACACATGATGTTTGGATGTGTCTTGTGATTCACACATGATATTTTGTCTTGTGATTTACACATGATGGATGTGTCTTGTGATTCACACATGATATTTTGTCTTGTGATTTACACATGATATTTTGTCTTGTGATTCACACATGATATTTTGTCTTGTGATTCACACATGATATTTTGTCTTGTGATTCACACATGATATTTTGTCTTGTGATTTACACATGATATTTTGTCTTGTGATTTACACATGATGTTTGGATGTGTCTTGTGATTCACACATGATGTTTGGATGTGTCTTGTGAGTCACACATAATATTTTGTCTTGTGATTCACACATGATGTTTGGATGTGTCTTGTGATTCACACATGATATTTTGTCTTGTGATTCACATGATATTTTGTCTTGTGATTCACACATGATGTTTGGATGTGTCTTGTGATTCACACATGATATTTTGTCTTGTGATTCACATGATATTTTGTCTTGTGATTCACACATGATGTTTGGATGTGTCTTGTGATTCACACATGATATTTTGTCTTGTGATTCACACATGATATTATGTCTTGTGATTCACACATGATGTTTGGATGTGTCTTGTGATTCACACATGATATTTTGTCTTGTGATTCACACATGATATTTTGTCTTGTGATTCACACATGATGTTTTGTGCCTTGTGATTCACACATGTTTCGCATGTGTCTTGTAATTCACACATGACGTGGAGCACATCATCCAGCACTGTATAGCACATCCATTCAGCACTGTGGAGCACATCCATCCAGCACTATGGAGCACATCCATCCAGCACTGTGGAACACATCCATCCAACACTGTGGAGCACATCATCCAGCACTGTGGAGCACATCCATCCAGCACTGTGGAGCACATCCATCCAGCACTGTGGAGCACATCCATCCAGCACTGTGGAACACATCCAACACTGTGGAGCACATCCTCCAGCACTGTGAAGCACATCCATCCAGCAATGTGGAGCACATCCATCCAACAATGTGAAGCACATCCATCCAACAATGTGGAGCACATCCAGCACTGTGGAACACATCATCCACCACTGTGGAGCACATCTGTCCAGCACTGTGGAGCACATCTGTCCAGCACTGTGGAGCACATCCATCCAGCACTGTGGAGCACATCCATCCAGCACTGTGGAGCACATTCATCCAGCACTGTGGAGCACATCCATCCAGCACTGTGGAGCACATCCATCCAGCACTATGGAGCACATCCATCCAGCACCGTGGAACATATTCATCCAGCACTCTGGAGCACATCCATCCAGCACTCTGGAGCACATCATCCAGCACTGTGGAGCACATCCATCCAGCACTGTGGAGCACATCTATCCAGCACTGTGGACACAATCCATTCCGCACTTTGGAAACACATCCATCCAGCACTGTGGAGCACATCATCCAGCACTGTGGAGCACATCCATCCAGCACTGTGCAGCACATCTATCCAGCACTGTGGAGCACATCCATTCCGCACTTTGGAACACATCCATCCAGCACTGTGGAGCACATCATCCAGCACTGTGGAGCACATCCATCCAGCACTGTGCAGCACATCTATCCAGCACTGTGGAGCACATCCATTCCGCACTGTGGAACACATCCATCCAGCACTGTGGAGCACATCATCCAGCACTGTGGAGCACATCCGTCCAGCACTCACTCGACGACTCTGACTGATCTGGTCAATTATACTTCCTTATGAGTGTATCATCAGTGTACTTCACTGATTGGTCAAATTTCACTACTCTTCTTTAATACCTCTGACCACACAGGTCTGATTCTAGTTTGACTTTTTATATAGTGTATAATTGTGAACGTGTGTTCTCGAGATGCAATATTGCTTCATTGCAAGTATTCTGAGTCTGCTTCATTTCCCTTTTTTTTTTTACATTGAGTATGTTGCTGAGCTTGGTTTAAAGGGGGAGCTGGTGCTGCAGTAGAGGTTTAAAGTGGAAACTGGTGCTGCAGTAGAGGTTTAAAGTGGAAACTGGTGCTGCAGTAGAGGTTTAAAGTGGAAAGTGGTGCTGCAGTAGAGGTTTAAAGTGGAAACTGGTGCTGCAGTAGAGGTTTAAAGTGGAAACTGGCGCTGCAGTAGAGGTTTAAAGTGGAAACTGGTGCTGCAGTAGAGGTTTAAAGTGGAAAGTGGTGCTGCAGTAGAGGTTTAAAGTGGAAACTGGTGCTGCAGTAGAGGTTTAAAGTAGGAGCTGGTGCTGCAGTAGAGGTTTAAATTAGGAGCTGGTGCTGCAGTAGAGGTTTAAAGTAGGAGCTGGTGCTGCAGTAGAGGTTTTTAAAGTAGGAGCTGGTGCTGCAGTAGAGGTTTAAAAAAAATGTACCAGGACTCGTGACTGTGTCTGGTGATGCACACTGGGTTGTTTATCTAGTGATGACGCTGCTACTAAGCCAGACTTCTGGATCTAGCAAGGCCGTGTGGAGCAAGGATTACTTAGAGCACAGGAGAACACAGGGGAAAGTGTGAATACAAAATACCAAGCTCCAGAAAAAAAAGCTTTTAAGGAAAAACAAATACTCTTATAAAATTTTTCTCAAGTCAGGACCTGATAAAGCTTTCGCCAATGACTAAAAAAGTTACCTCAATAAAAGTTTCTCTGTTGTGAGCTTGTCGCAGGACATTTTTTCCCCCGCTCGTGGTAAAGCAAGTAACAGACCCCTCGGTCTGTATCGGGGGTCTCCATGGAAAGATAACTATTTGTTACCTCAAAGTTTGTGTAAGAATTTAGATTAGGGTAATATAGAAAAATCCCCCCAATCTCCTTGCCAATGCCAGCGTAATTTTCTTTTTGGCACAAAAAAAAACGTCTAAATATTTAAAAAAATTGTGGGGCAGATTATACTTTATACTTAATAAAGTAAAATGTTTACTATTTTTTTCTTTCACCAGAACTGTGTCAGAGGATAAACTTACATAGTTCCTAAAAATTTTTACACAGGGTTTTACTGGCTTCATCGCAGATCAGCAATTTTACTTCAGTTAATATTTGCAACGGTAAGAAATTAAGTTTATTCGGGTATACACAAATACAGTTACATAGAAATTATTTACATAGAGCATTTGCGTAGAGAACCTTGGATAACTAAAAAAGTCAGAGTGTTTCCCCGGCCCTTCTTAAATGTGCTG